AAGAGCATAGTCAATGTCACTGAACTGTGCATGTAGAAATTTTTGAAATGGTGTATCTTTGGCTATGTGTATTTTCACCAAAAAAAAAAAAGAAGTTGAGAAGTTCGAGGGTTGATATGTTATGGGATTGTTAACCAATGTCATAAAACAACACGTGTACTTCTGTTTCAGGAGAAACTATAAGTTCTGTAAGCCTTCACCTGAAGTACAATTAAAAAAAAAAAAGACTTAAAAGTTTAAAAATGGATATTATGAACAACTTTATGCCAATAAATCTGACAATTTAAATGAATTAGGCAACTCACTTGAAAAACACAATTTATCAAAATGAACACAAACTGAAACAGACATTCTGAACAGTCCTATGTGATTAAAGACATTGAACGTGTAATTAAAAAGTTTCCCACAAAGAAAACACCTAGCCTACATGTTCTTACTGATGAATAATCCCAAAAAATTCAGAAGGAAATAATCTCATATTTTTTTCCATAAAAAAGAAAGACAGGGCACATTTTTCAATATATTTTATTATAGTCAAAATGACTTTGATACCAAAACCTGACGGGACCTTACAAGAAAGAAACACTATCGGCCAATATCTCTCATGAACATAGAGGCAACAACTCTAAAGAAAAAGTTCACAAATAGAATTTAGCAATTAGTAGAAGAGATAATATATCTCAGAATTTTCTCATAACCTCTCCCAGTCAGTCTCTCCCCATCATCAAGGCAATCAGGTTGACTGCAGGTTATTTTGCCTACACTAGAGCATTACATGAGTCAGAATCTACTCGACAGCAATGGGTTTATTTTGGTTTTGGTTTAGAACATTACATGGAGTCACGTACACATTCTTTGGTATCTGCCTTTTTTCATTCAGGGATCTGTATCTGAGATCCATCAGGTTGTATACAATAGTAGTTAGACCTCATAAGGACTGGGAGATAAAAAGAAACCTTTTCATGGAAGCCCATAAGGTGGTCTCTGGGTTACTGATGTGTGTCTTGGAGCTTGTGAGGGGTCTTCTGCTTAGGGGAAGCTTCAGCTCTGTAGGGCTGAGGGAATCACAGAGAGCCCAGAGGAACAGGGCCTGGCTTTTCACAGCTGGGACTGTTGGTGATGAGGAGGACTTGGGAGGAAGGCAGCCTGGTGCTGAGAGGCTCCTGACTGGGGAGATTTCCAATTTGCCCACTAGAACAAACTCCTCAGTGTCTAGAACTTGATTAGCCTCAGGAAGGTAGGGCAGAAAGTTTCTCTGGCTTTCCCTTGGCTGCATCCCTAGGGTTCCTCTGAACCAGGGAAAATTTACCTCCTCAGTGAGTAATGCTCCTTGGGGACAGGTAGGGAAAGAAAGGAGGGAGGAAGAGAGAGGCAACTGGACTCCCCTCAACACTCTGTTTGTGGACTTTCTCCTGAGCTCCTGTGTGAGGACAGTGCTCTTCTGCCCTGTGAGTGCAGACAGCACAGTCCCTGTCTCCCCAGCATGGCTCCATACAAATGAGGCAGGAGGTAGCCCAGGTTGACCTGGAGAGCCATAGGCTTTTCCATCCAGTCCTCTTCTCTGGACATGAGTGTCTTCTCAGAGGTTTAGAGAGAGGAGAGCATCAGCATGAAAGCGACTGGGCTTCGGTGCCTCTAGAAGAGGACAACGGGAGCCTGAGGAGAGGCTCAGGGAGCTGCAGAGAGGACAGCTGATCTCTGAGTACCTCCTGCTCAGCAGAAGGTAGACGAGCCCTTCTCTGCCCAACCCAGTGACAGGCCCAGCTCCTGCCATCACCTACGACACTACTTGCCCCTTTCTCTTCATCTCTTCCTTATATCTGCTTGCCTTTTTGTAGGGCATCTGCAGGGAGGGAGACTGCGTGTTGACTGGGCAATACCTTAGTGAAGAGTGGATGCAGGGAGAGCTGGTCAGGATGTTCATCTGTTCATTCATTGATCTGTTCTTTGATTCATTTATTGATTCATTCATTCAATCAATAGTAAAGAGCACATACTTACTGTGCTCGGACTCTGTTCTTGGCACTGGCGATTGGACAAGGGACAAGAAAGACAAAGTCCCTGCCCTCGAAGTACTTACCTCTAATGTGGGGTTCAGATTACAAGTGAATAAACAATATAATTTCAGGTATTGATGAGAGCCCATCAGAAAAAAAATGTAGCCTAGTGCGAGGTTGGAGTAAAGGTGCATGTGTTGTTTTAGGGAGGACAATTAGGGAGGACCTGTGAGGAGGAGACAGTTGAGCAAAGACATGAATGAGGTCCTCAGACATCCCACGGGGCTCAATGTGATCCGTTTTGGTGCCTGCTTACACTTTTCCTTACTGCCAGGGCTCTGGAGAAAATAGGAGGTCACAGACAAGCTGACTTGCTATGAGAACCTTTCCAAGCTTCTTTTTGGGACTGAAACCACAGCAAGTTGGATAAGTTAGCAGACTTTGAGACCTGGGAAGGCAGGGGATGTCGGCTATACCCCACAGCCTCCCATCTCCTGGCCCCAGGTGATCACTGTGCAGGACAGATGAGAGTGGGGATTAAAGCTCCAGCATCTTCATCCTTCTGGAATCCTCCTCTAGTGCCAGCTGGTGACAAGAGGAATCAGAATCTCAGAGTTCGTGGCTACCAGCTGGGAGCTGGCCAGGCTCTGCCCACTCGGAGGAGACACATCACTGAGGTTAGAGGTGGGCACAGCTTTCTGTCATAAGAACAGGTAGGAAGAAGTGGGTAATCCACCCTGGGAACCAGCTCCCTGAATCAGAGAAAGTCCCACTACTCTCAAAATAGCTCTTACCCTATGACAATGTCCTGGATAGTCCCCACTTCCCAGGTAAAGATACCTGATGTGAAACCTTTGACATAAATGGAATGCAAATGGAGCCTACGGTCAGAGGACACAAGGGAAAGAAGTAACCGGGTCTGGGTGAGGTTGGCGACGAGCACTTTCTTATAGCTGCTGAAATGCAGCAGGATTTTGTAGAACAGGGACTTCATAGGAAGGAGGAGCTTAGGGCATTCAAGGTGGAAGGGGTGGTGGTATAAATAAGCACCTGTGGTCAGGGGAGTAGACATGCAGGTGGAGGCAGGACGTCCAGGGAGGGGTGCATGCTGGGTGGGGGCTTTCATGCCTGTGGTTTAGGCTCATCTTCTTGGACTTTTATCTTCATGTATTATAGAGACTCCTCATAAAATATCTAGCACCAACCTTGTACAGAGAATGGTAGATTATGTTGTGGAGCCTGGAAGCAGGATGTGATATTTCCTCAACTTGGAGATACCTCTAGACCTTTGAGATCAGAAGCAGTGTTATCTCTCCTTTGCTTTCTAGATTTCACAAGGAGCAAGGGCAGACTCAATGTTGGAGAATACTGTAGTGCCACTGAATTTTATCTCCTTGTCTTTCCCAGCTCCCAAGAACTACGCCAGATCCTTTTTGCCACCTTCTTGTTCCTTTACTGAGTGGCATTAATGGGAAACTTGGTCATCATCGTGATTGTCTGTGTTGATAAGCGTCTGCAGTCCCCCATGTACTTCTTCTTCAGCCACCTCTCTGTCCTGGAGATCCTGACCACATCCATTGTTGTTCCTGTGATGCTGTGGGGGCTGCTGCTCCCTGGGATGCAGACAATATCACTGACTGCCTGTGTGGCTCAACTCTTCTTGTACCTCGCTTTGGGGATCACAGAGTTTGCATTATTAGGAGCCATGGCTGTGGACCGTTACGTGGCTGTCTGTAACCTTCTGAGGTACAACCTCATCATGAACAGCCACACTTGCACCTGGATGGTGACTGTGTTGTGGGTGATTGGGTTCCTTTTTCAGATCTGGCCTGTCTATGCCACATTTCAGTTTACCTTCTGCAAATCCAACGTGGTGAACAATTTTTTCTGTGACAGAGGGCAGTTGCTGAAACTATCCTGTGATGACACTCTGTTCACAGAGTTCCTCCTCTTCTTAATAGCTGTTTTCATTATGGTTGGCTCTTTGATCCCTACAATTGTCTCCTACACCTACATCATCTCCACCATCCTCAAGATCCCCTCACCCTGTGGCTGGAGGAAAGCCTTCTCCACCTGTGCTTCCCACTTCACCTTTGTCGTCATTGGCTATGGCACTTGCTTCTTCCTCTACATGAAACCCAAGCAAACGCAGGCAGCTCAGTCCAACAGGGTTGTTTCCCTGATGGTCGTGGTGGTGACTCCTTTCCTCAACCCTTTCATCTTCACCTTCCGGAATGACAAAGTCATAGAAGTCCTGCGGGATGGGGTGAAATGCTGCTGCCACCTATTCAGGAACTAGCCCTGCCCTAAGGCAGTTTTCTGAAGGAAAACAGTTGTTATGGATTCTGAAGTGATTTGGAAAGCACCTACTCATCTTTAAACTAATCATAATCAAGTTCTGTCTATATACATGTATGCGTATAATCTGTATGTGCGTGTATGTACATTTTATACTCTCTATAATCTTCTCTAGTCATAGTACATCTCACAATTGTTGTTGTTGGTTGCCATTGAGTCAACTCTGACTCATGGCAACCTTGTGTATAACAGAATGAAATGTTGCCTGGGCCTGCACCACCTTCATAATCACTGCTATATTTGAGTCCATTTTTTGTGGTTATTGTGTCAATCCATCTCATTGAAGGTTTCCTTCATTTTTGCTGACCCTCTACTTTACCAAACATGAAATAGACATCTCACAATAAAACTTTTAAATATCAAATATAAAAAAAAATGTGTGATATTTAGACTTTGGAAGAAGAGAAGCAAAACATTCTCTGACTGCAAGGTGACTACTGGATTCTAGGTCCCTGGATCATCTTCCCATAAATTGTCCTGGGCTTTATGAGTTCTGGCTGTGTGCATCTGCTATGCCTTCCCTGGCCTAGACCTCAAGCTTGAAAATATTTCTTGATTTCCTGTCCCCAAATCCTGTTGCCTCAGTACCTTCAGGGTGTGGGAGGAAGGTCTCAGAGAGGAGGCTCTTCTCCAACGTCCCTCATATCACCATCCCAGTCCCAGTGCGTGCAGGCTGTGGAGCTGCTGTGCTGGGAGCTGAATGGACAGGAGAGAGCTGCCCTTGCTGTGGCCTGGGCTGAGAGGGGTGCAGAGAGGTAGAGGAAGGGGCAGCCTCAGCCCCTCTCCTGCATGTCCTACAGTCTCCCACTCTGACATGGCCCAGGCCACCTCCCTGCTGCCTCCTCTACCACCTCTCCTGCTCACTTTGGTTCTTGATTCTTTTCATGTCGCTCTTTCTGTGGTTCTACTTCCCAACTTCATTCTGGGTTTCCCTTTGCCTCTCTTCCCTTACAAACCCCAAGTTTACCACACTATTATCCAGCTCTTCAAGCACTGCCCTAACACTTCATCGCCCCTCCCCCTGCTCAGCCCCATTTTGTCCCCAATCAAAGTGTCCATTTCTTATCTCACAAGCAGCATTTTTTTGTAGTAACAAAATATTGATATTCCAACAGAATATCCATCAGTGCCTTGTTAAAAAAATTATGTTTCATCCCTACAACAAGATAGTATGCAGCTGTAAAAAAATAAAAATAAAAATAAAAAATGAGAAAACTCTACAACCATTAGAAAAGATCTCCAAGCTGTAGTGTTAAGTGAGAAAAGCAAAGTGCAAAACACTGAATTTAGTATGTCACCTTTTGTGTAAGAAAAAGATAAAAATGAGTACATATGCATACTTGCTTGTATTTGCTTGTGGAAGGGAGCAAGACTTTTCACTGCAGCCCTTCTAATATTATTTTTATTTTTGCAACCATGTGTATGTATTGTCTACACAAAAATAAAAATAATTCCATTTATTGTATGTGTCTTAAGGGGTGTATTAATTCAGCCTCACGCCCCTTTTAATGATCCAGGAATATCTGCTTATTTACAGAGATATATCTCTCCCCTCCCTGTTCCTAAGAATTTTCTTGGCTATAATTAAATATTGACTCTTTCATATAATTTTTAGAACCAAATTTTCAAGTTCTGAACAAATGCTGTTGGGATCTTAATTGGAATTTCATTGAGTTCACTGATAAATTTGGCAAGAAAACACAGTTTTATGATATGGAGGTTTTATTTCCTTGAAATAGTATCTCTTTTTTTATTCAGACCATTTAAAATGTCCTTTTTATAATGTTCTTCCCAAATGTTGTGGACATCTTTTGTTATATTTATGCCTGGTTATCTTATAGTTTTCATTGCTATTATGAATGGTAATTTTTCTATTCTATTTTATAGTTGGTGATTGTTATTTATTTGAACATTGTTTATTTTTAAATGTTGATCTGTATCTTGCAACATTGCCAAGCTTTTATGGATTGTGATAATTTGTCATTTATCTTGGATTTTCAATGTAGATAATCATATTATCTGGGAAAAATAAGAAATTTGTAACTTCTATTTTTTATTTTTATAGTTTCTTTTCCTTGTCATATTGCAGTGGCTGGGGCCTCTAGCCCAGTAGTAAGTAATGGTGATAGTAGATATTTCTTGCCTTGCCTTTCTACTGCTTTATGCTTCTACACTTTCACATGATTTCTGTAGGTTTTTGATAGGTACTTTTTATCAGATTGAGAAAGATTATTTTGAATAGCATGAGTGGGAATTAAATTTTCTAAATGCTCTTTCTGCGTCTGTTGAGATAACCATATAGTTTTTGTCATTTAATTTGATGTTACTGACCTTTACTTTGATTGTGGTGTTTCTAATGTTAATCTCTCCTTGAAGCCCTGGTGGCACAGTTAAGAGTTTGTCTTCTAACCAAAAGTTCAGCAGTTCAAATCCACGAGCTGCTTCTTGGAAACCCTATGGGGTGGTTCCGCTCTGCCCTATAGGGTCACTATGAGTCAGAACTCCATGTCACCTAACAACAACAACAAACTTCCCTTGCATTTTTTGAGTAAAAGCCCTAAGATACATAATGCATTATTTAAATCCATGTTTGTATAGTGTTGGGTTGCATTGGCTAATATTATATTTTTTAGCTAAATAAGTATATTCTTTTTTTTTTCTTTGCTATACTATCATTGTCCAATTTTGTCATCAGTGTAATGCTGGCTTTAGAAAATGAGTTGTGTAACTTTCTCTGTGTATTGGACACCCCTTTGGCCCGCCTCACATCACTCTGATCTGCCTGTTACCCCAACTATTGCTGCAGCAACAAGATTCTCATAAATATAACCTGAGCACATCATGCCCCAGCTGTATCTCTCTCTTTCTGCTTCATGGCTTCTTTTATGTTGCTGTGGGGGTGCCTGCAGGAACATGCTTAACACTTGCACATGTGCAAGCCTAGTAGGTACAACAGGATGAGTGTCCTTGCTTCTATCCTTGGTCAGTGGGGAATGGAAGCTGGTGGGTCAATATTTCCTTCTCTCATTCCTTAGGTGGACAGTTCTGAGACACTTTCTATACAAGTCCTCCAGGGAGGATTGGATCTCAATTTTCCACTACAGTGGCCAGGTTAATAATTTACCCTTTACGACTTCCCCTGTTTTACTCTTTCCAGTCACCAGTCTGATTGTTTAGGATCATTTCCTCAAACTGCCTGCATGTAAGCCCCTATTTCAGACTCTGTTCTGGTGCAGACCTAGAAAGCAGTTTCTCAGGATGGGATTCTGGACCTGGCTGCTTCACTGGTCAGGTGGCAGTAAGGATCTTGGGTGGTACATGGGGTGGTGATGACCTTTGCCATACTGTAGCATCAAGATTGCTGTGATTTCCAAGGTGCTGGAAAGAAATGAGGTTCAGATCAAAGGTGAAGCATTGATGTCATAGGCTGGATTCTCTGGAAGCAGATGCTGAGACAGAGTTTGGGGTGCCAGATGTGTATCAGGAATCAATACTTGTGAAAGGAATGAGGGGAGACAGGATTGGCAGGATTGACAGAGCTCCAACCAACCCACCCAGGAGTCCTGGAGCAAAAATTACCTGTTTGAGTTGTTCCCTGTCAAGAACTCCTGCACAGGAACTCCTGAAGAATGCTCATGATAGCACTCTTCACAGTAGCAAAGACCTGTCAGCAATCCAATTGCGCATCAACAGGAATAGTGATGGTATAATGGAATATTATGCAGTAGTCAAAATGAATGAACCTCCACAATATGGATGCATCTTACAATATTAAGTGAAAAAGAGGAGGTTCCAAAAGATTCCTTATAGCAAAATACCTTTTTATAAAGATAAAAATAATATGTACACAACAATGAGATGAAACTAAATAAGAAGGAAAGCAATTGAATGATGAACACAGGATTCAGGATGGTGGTTACCTGAGCTGGGTATAGGAGACCACACAGGTAGATGTGCTATTATAAAAGTTCTTGTTTCCATGTTGGGTGGTTTCATGGTACTCATGATATTTTTATAGTTAAATAAACAACAAAACAAATACATAAAAGAGGACCATGAACGTACCAATTATGGGAGTGTTTCATGAATGAAGGATTATGATTAATTCAATTCTTTGTACCAGAAATTGAGAGAGAGACCATGGGCTGTGGCTTGAGAGATAATTAGACACCTCTGCTGCCCCAGACCCACTGGCTAGCAGTGAAGACGGTCTGAGGGATCATGAGGCCCATCGCAGGGACTTGGGCTGCTGAATACTTAATTCCAGTCTATCAGAGGTGAAGGCAGAATGGAGGGGAGCTAAGACTATTACTGCACTATTATTCAGTCTGTGCTGAGGGAGACTCAAGAAGTGAAGCAGGGCTAACCCAAAAGGCAAAGATCCCCAAAGGACAGGGCTTCAGCAGGCAAAATAAGCAAAGGCAACCTGTAGCTAAGGAGTCCCTGGATGGTGCAACGCTTAACATGAAAGGTTGGAGATTCATGTCTACCCAGAGGTGCCTCAGAAATAAGGCCTGGTGATCTACTTCTGAAAAACCAGCCATTGAAAACCCTATAGAGCACAGTTCTACTCTGACCCACATGGGTTCACCATGAGTCAGAGTCGACTTGCCCTGTAGCAAATGTTTTCAGTCATGAATCCAGGGTTGATCTGTGAACTTATAACAGTGGTCAGTGACTTTGGTCATGAGACCAGTTACTCACACAGAGAGGAAGGGTAATTTGTACGTAAGCCAGAGCTGTGGAAAGTAGAATATTTTAGACACCCTCCCTTGACTTGGACTTATTTTTATTCCCATGTTATAAATGAGTAAACAGCTTCTGAGAAGTCATATGGCTTGTCTAAATTTAGCTTTCAACAAAATGCAGAGCCACATGTTGGACGAAGATCTCAACTTCAGATCTTCCACAGAGTGCTTCCTCTATTGTTTATTGCCACTGAGGTACAGAGAGATGGTCTTCTCTAAATTTACATACAACATCTTCTCTACAATGCATACAACATTTTTTGTGAGATGTGTATTACTTCCCCATTTTATAGGAAAGAAACGAAGGCACAGAAGGGGTAAAGAATCTGTATAGACTCACAAAGTATATTAGTAGTGTTAGAACTCAAACCCAATGGTTTACTAACATTCCATTGCTTTTTTTTTTTTAAACCATACCACTGCTGCCTAACAAAGGCCACACTGATCTGCTCTTTTAAGGATCCCACAACTCCTCCAGTAATGGACTTAGATCTTGTGTAGAAGCACCTCCTCATCTTAGGGGAGTTTCAGGCTGTTGACTTGGGAAATCACTGATGGTGCCTATGACATTTTTATAGTTAAATAGACAACAAAACAAATACATACATAAAAGAGAACCATGCACGTACCAATTATGGGAGTGTTTCATTAATAAAGGTTTATGATTAACTCAATTCTTTGTACCAGAAATTGAGAGAGAGACCATGGGCTGTGGCCCATTTCCTGACTGTAAAAATGTGCAATTCTTCTGTCATAAAACAGGAAGTGTGACAACTATAGTTCTCCCTTCACGAAGCAGAAGGATTGCAGTTCCCTCTCTATTGTCTGAATTCTGGGGCTTGCTGTTGGTTGGAATTCTGTTTATTATTTGCTCTACCACGGACTCAGCCTCTCTCTCCTCAGCTGTGGTCTTTACTCTTTACTGACCCAATAGAGAAGGCGCATCTCCACAGGGCACTAATATTCTAATTGCAATATCCACCCCTACAACATATATTATTTCTAGTAACTTCCTTCAAGCAAGTTCTACACCTGATGTATTATCTCATTTTTTAAAATTGTGAATGCGTATGCTAAGGAACCCAAAACTGTGAAACTTAGAAGTTTAGGAACAGAGCTTTGTGTTGCAATAAAAATGAAACAACAGCAATTTAGTGTGATATACATGTAATGATGTGCACAGTTGTTACTGGGGTACGTTGTTATTAGACACAAATGGCAAGCAGCTTATGTAGATGACTATGATTCCCATTGGTTTTATACAGCCTTCCATGGTGGTTTAGTTCTCACTACTCTGAAGCACAAGGCCACCCATGTCTCCTTTCTCTGCACAGAGGAGGGAGTGGCTGAGGTCGTGTTGTGAGTATGGAGAAGAGTCAGGGCCCCAAGACTTTCTCCCTCTCTTCTGCCTTGCTTGGAGGATGGCCAATGAACTCCCTGTTCCCTCCCTCACATGGCTTCCATTTGTCCCCCATGTTCCCCTTCCACTGTCTGCCTCTCCTTGCCCCACCCAATGCTTCCTACTGGGCCAGCTGGACCAGTCTGGGTCAGTGGGACCAATGCTTCCTACTGGGCCAGCTGGACCAGTCTGGGTCAGTGGGATGCCGACCAGTGCAAGGCTGGAGGCCTTCAGGTGAGTAGGCTGTCCCGGGCAGCAGGAGCTCTTTAGAACTGAAGGGAGGACGGTGTTGTGATCTGTGGGGCCCAAGAGTCTCTCCCAAATTCTTAAAATGTACTCAACACAACATGGTCAGGTCGTCAAACCTGCAGAGCGAAAGGAATCTGCTTATTCAAATTCTGGTTGCAAAGGAGCTATATATGCTATAGTGGAGGCTCAGGCCAGCCAAGAAAATATTTCAGCTCAAGTGTCTCTTCAGTGCTTTGCTGAAGAGCAGAGAGCCAGTTCGCCTGGGCACTTGGCTGCTTGGTTGTCTTCCGAGGGACCTCTGAGCAGAGTCCTGTCCTGAGCTGACCCTTCCTCATCCCCATGAGCAATGCTTTCCCTGCTCCATGCTCTGCTCCAGGTGCCCTTCTCCAGGCCTGGCCTCACTTCAGACTGAGAAGGCCTCTGCTGTCCCAGGGATACATGTGGATAGGGGTCTCTTGGGAACAGGGGTGGGGTCACAGAAGCTGAATTTATCCTCTTCTACCCACGGGGCTCTCTAAATAACCTTCACACCTGAGCTGTCTGCAGTTTCTCCCTGCTAGTGTGGTCATGTGCGCTGGGGATAAACCAAACCCTGACCACAGGCTAAGCCCTGCTGGTCAGTCAGAAATGCCCAGTTCTGTAGAAATAGATTAGCCTCCACACCAGGTAAGTTATATCTGTAAAACTGACCCTTTTCCTGAGATGGCTATCACCCAGGCCCCAAAGCAGAGCCCAGAAGCTCATCTCCCCAAACAGACAAGGTCCTCTACCATTGACAGATGGACAAATGGGTCATTGACCAGACGACCTGTGTGGATCCAGTGGACCACAGGTGAGACTCTTACAGGAAGGGATCTTGGGGACTGCTGGTCAGAATGGGGAGTTAGCCCAGGTGTGTCACGTTAGTGCATTTGTGGAGGGGTGCCTGAGCCCTGGGGGCCACTGGAGCTGGGCAGTAGCCTGTGGCTGACTAGCGCAGTGGTTTCATGCTCTGCATTTCCTGGTCCAGTTGTAAATGCTCTTTCTGCTGCCTCCCTGAGCATTTTTGGTGATCTCGGCAGAGACCATGGGGACGGTGGTCATTTGGCGTTCTTCTCGCAGATCCAGCGGTGGTTGATGTCACACAATGCAGCATCGAATGTGTTTGTTAGGCCTATGGTCACACAGTTGAAATTCTGACGGTGGTTGGTGACACTAGTGAGAAAGAAGGTGTGGTTAAGGCCCCACCGGTTCCAGAGTGAGGGTCTCAGAGGGGTGTGAGGGAGAAGTGGGCGGCTGACGAGGTCCACGCACTCATCCTCAGAACCAGCCTTCCTCACTTCCCACTCAGGCCCCTCTGCAGCCCTCGGCCTCCCCTGTGAGCTTCTGTGGATTCAGAGTCTTGGATTAACTCACTCTTGTGTTTGTCCAGGAACATCTCATGAGCATCCCTTTTTCTCCAGAAACAGTGTTCTAGACACTAGATTATGTACTGAGTTTACAGCAGGAGGACAGAAAGGAGAAGGAAGAGATTCCTCCTCTTCTCGTAGGTACCAGCTGTCTTTAGACGTGACCTGGTGATGGTGGTGGCCCTCTCCTTCCTCTTATCTGTCATTCGGTCTCTCACAGTCTGATGGGAAAGGGTGAGGTTTCATGGAAAGGCCATGAGCTTTGGAGTCACGTGGATGCCGTATCAAATTGTGGCTCTGCCACCTCGCAGTCTGGGGATGTTCAGCACATTCTAAACCTCTCCGATCCTCATTTCCATCATCTGTTAAATGGAGGCCAATGGGAGCTCTTTTTTTTTTTTTTTGGTGATCTGACAAGATCACCCTTATGAATACTGCAGGAAATATAACATGTGTCTGAGGAACTTTTAAATTTTGAGGTGCCATAGGTCTAATTGGGAAGATTTTAGAACTAAAATTAAGCACTCCACTTAGGAATTAAACTGAGAGCTTTACTTCTACATTCCTCATAACCATTGTTGTTGTTGTATGCTATTGAGTGGATTCCAACTCATAGCGACCCTATAGGACAGAGCAGAACTGCCCCATAGGGTTTCCAAGGAGCATCTGGTGGATTTGAACTGCTGACCTTTTGGTTGGCAGCCTGAGCTCTTAGCCACTTCACCACCAGAGCTCCGCATAACCATTAGGCTTCTGTTAAAATTTACTGTTTTAAAAACAAAGCTCAGTCATGCTTGTTAAGAGTGTTCCTACAGCTGGCCTTAGAAAAAGCTTCAGTGAGTTGTTAAAATAAATTAGAGCCTACAAATAAACATATTGTTTTAAGTACCTTAAGAAGTTCCCCCAGCAAGCACCTAGGCATTATCTCTTTTCTTTCAGCTAAATAAGCAGAGTTTATTTACAGTTTCCTAACTAGCAGAAAGTTCAAGGATTCAAATTATGTTGGCCCAGCTACAATTATATCACTAACTTCTATATCACTAAACTTTCATGTCGAAATTATTTATACTTTTCATTTAAGAAACTTTGCCTTAGTTAAAATGTATCAAGTATGGGAGATTTAGGCTAGACTAGAAACTGATGTAAAGAATGTTGCACAGTTAATTGTCACCCTTGTAAATCTCAGTGCCTTTCCCACCATTGCTTTGGATGTGACGTTGTTATCTGTGCTCACGCTAGTTGTTAAATATCTCTTTATTTTGCCTGTAAGGGAGAGCATACCGTTACAGCCTAACTGAACGGGTGCTCTCTGGAGGTTCATTCTTTCAGTTAATTTTATTGGTTTGAATATCAAATTGAAGTGTTGGTCCATTGACTTTACATTGTGTGAAGTGTTCACCATGGTACTTAGTCTTTACCAGACATGAAGGAATGCTAATTTCCTACCCTCTTTGAGGAAGCCCAATTACAGGCTGCAGAACTGACTTGCGCTCTGTCAAACTCGACATTCCCATACGTGCCCTGGAATGTTACAGTCTCCACCAACTATGGACTGATTCATAAGGGATAGCATTTGGGTGTTGGAAGTTCATAGCTTTAAGGCATAGACAAGTTTGCTATAACTTTCCTTAGATAAAGAAGCCACATCTGAGGAAATCTGTAGGAACGTAGTAATCAAATGTGATCTATGGGTTAAAAGAGATTTATGAAATATATCAACCAAATGCTATGTGGGTAGATGTGTTTGGATCCTGATCTGGACAAAATATTCCATTATATGAATACTCTTCTCTCTACTTATGAATGTTTGATATTTTCCATAATAAAAGGTTTACAAAAATTGTGTCTCTGGAAATAGATGGTGTTATGGATTGAATTGTGTCCCCCTAAAAGTTATTTTGAAGTCCTAACCCCTGTACCTGTGGATGTGATCCTGTTTGGAAATGGGATTTTCCTTTTGTTATGTTATGTCATACTAAAGTAGGGTGGGTTCTAAACCTAATCCCTTCTGAGTAGTCTTAGAAAAAGGGAAGACAGACATAGGTAAGGAGAGACACCATGTGAAGATGGAGGCAGATGAATCTAGAAACCCAGTAGTGCTAAGGATTGCCTGTAACCACTAGGGCTGAGAGAAATAAAGGAGGACCTTCCCCTAGAACCAGTGTCCTGAATTGGGACTTCTAACCTTCTGAACTGTGAGAAAATACATTTCTGTTCTTTTTCTGTCTTTTTCATTTTTTTTTCTTTTTGTTATAGCAGCACTAGCAAACAAAGACATAGTTTGGAAGAAAAGAGAGGCGTAGAACAAAGAGCCATATCCCAGCTTTGTGCTGTCCGGGTCTGACCTCAGGTCTGGTTTGTTGGGGCCAACTAAGGTCCCCAGGGAATGTGGGGTGTTCACATACTTGCCGTTGAACACAGAGTTGTTGATCCATCGCCACCTTTTCTCTGCAGGCTGGTATATTAAGCCAATGAAGTACATCTCGGCACCAGCTATGTCCTGGAGAAACTTCTAGATATTAAAAACAAAAGGCGGTTACACAGCAAATCCTTTACAGCTGCCTCCCTCGTGCCAACACTGCCGTGACTGCGTCTGATTCTGGGAATCACGAAGGCCGGTCGGGCTGTGGGGCTGGCTGGCCCTGGCACTCACCATCAGCCCCAGAGAAGTGGTCCTCAAACTCCAGAGAGCATCAGGACCACCTGGAGGGCTTGCTAAAACACAGACTTCCGGGGTTCTGGTTCAGTATGTCTGGTGTAGGGACCAAGAACTAATACATCTAACAAATTCCAGGTGCTGCTGCCACCCTCAAGGACCACACTTTGAGACGAAGGGGAAGGGGCACTGTGCCGTCTAAACCAGTTTTTCAAATACATCCTTGTAATTTTGCATGCCTGTCTGCATAGGATTGTTTTTGTTGCCAGAAATTCTACCTTCCAAACGAGGGTGGATCAGGCAATAGCAAAATGTGCTCATGTTGTCAGAGTACTTAGCAAGGGAACACAGCTGGTCTTCTACTGTAGGACATTTTTCCTATCCACCTGGATTCTTAAAGGTGTGGTGGCAATGCAGACAATCCAAGGAGAAATTACCAAGTGTTGGGTTTTCCTAAACTGACACTAGCCCAGGGCATCTTCGTTTGTGTATTAAATGAATGAATCAAAGATCACCAAGCCAGAAATCTGGGAGTTCCCTGGACTCCTTCCTGTCCTCTTCACATACCTCCCGCGATCAGTGAGCATCCAAGACTTATTCTCTTCATCCTCGCCACTCCTGCCTTAGTTCCTTCTTTCCCAAAACTCTCCTTCCCCGAAATAGCTCATTTTGTTAGTTTCTAAAATTAATGACTGAATTTACTCACTTAAACTTTTCTTGAGTGTTTCTCATGTGTCAGGCTTGGTGCTAGGCTGGGGACATGGAAACAGGCCTGTTTCTCCTCAAAGAAATTAGGGTCTAACAGGGCTTGGCAAACTATAGCCATGGGGCCAAATCCAGACTGCAGCCTGTTTTTGTAAATAAAGTTTTATTGGAACACAGCCACACTCATTTGTTTACATATTGTCTACGGCTGCTTTCAAGCTAAAATGACAGAGTCGAGTAGTTATGATAGAGACTGTATGGATAGAGGCAACGCCTACAATATTTACTCTCTGGTCCTGTAAGAAAAAGTTTGCTAGCTCATTGTCTAACATAAGGGTTCTTAACTGTTAGCTGTCTACTGGAAGCCATGGATGGTTTCCAAGGGAATCCATGAAGCCCCTGAAATTTGACTCAAAATATTGTGCTTATGTAATGTTTCTGGGAAGAGGTGCACAGCTTTCATCACCGTTTTTTAAAAAGTCAGTGATGCCAGCGTGTTGAAGAACCGCGAGTCTAAGAGGAGAAGACAGATGGTTAACCCGCATGGCGAGATGTCACAGGCATGGCGGTAAGACACGTCTGGAACACGCACAAAGAGGGCGTGATCGATTCTGTGTGGATTTGGGGTTTTCTGGAAAGGTCATAGATGAGGTGGTACTGGAGCTGAATTTTGGGAGCTAGCTAACTCTTTATCAGGTGAATGGTAGGGAGGATGTGGGTTAGGATTTAACTTCCTAGAAGAGGGGGCTTTGGAAGCCACCTGTGGAGCAGCCTGGAGTGTTTGGGGAACTACAAGATGTTCAGTCTGGTAGGTGCAGAGGTAGACCAGAGGTGTGTTGAGAGATGAGACTGGAGAGAAGTCAGAGGCTGGACTGTGCAAAGTCTGTATGCCATGCTAGGAAAACTGGACATTAACCCACTTTAATTTGGAAAATAACTGAGCCTCAGAGATGCTATTATGTTAGTTCTGTGGAAGGCAGGTGAGAAGGCAGCAAGACTGGGGGTGAGGACATTAGCTAGAGGAATTCTAAAACCATCCAATTGCAAGCTGAACTAATGGCTGCGGGGACAGAGAGGACTGGACTTGGTTAGTAGCTGATTTAGGAAGTCAAGGAGAAGGTGAAGTCCTAGGAAACTCCGAGCTTCTATCTTGAGAGACATGACTACCCACCAAGATTGAAACTACAAGAGGAAGGGTAGTTGGGGTAAGGCACAGTTGACTCAGTTTGAACATGTTGAGTTAGTGGTGCTTTTGAAACATCAAGATGGAAATTGATGTACTGTATGGTCTAGAGAAGAAGTCTGATCTGGGGACTTGAACGTCATCAGCAAACCGACAATGTGATGAGCTTTTCCTGGGGCAAGCAAGGAGTATATGAGAGGGAGAAGGCCAAGGATAGGACTGGGATGCACCAAAATTTAAGGGTGACATTCTCTTCCTGTCCGGTTCCCCACTCCCCCTCTTTTCCCCTCCCTTTCCCTTTTCTCCTCCCATCTGGGTCCTGGTCTTCTACTGTAGGACATTTTTCCTACCCACCTGGCTTCTTAGCCCTAGAGCATCTGTAGCATCTATCGGGATCCTTGTCCTTGCTGGACAGCTAGTGCCAAGATTTAGTGAAGAAGACCCTCTTCCAAGTTCTTCTAGATCAGAAGACTTTTAGAGGAGGGGCCAGGGGATGGAGGGAGAGAAGTGAGTAATAGTGTATATAGCACAGTGCCTGGCATGTTTAGGATTTGGAGGAGAGATGGCCGTAAGTAAGCTTGGTTAAGACTATGCATTTTGGAGTCAGATTTGAATACAATTCCACTTTCTGTCACTTAATAGTTGTATGACCTTGGTCAAACTATTGTCTGTGCCCTGGTTTCCTCATCTATAAAATGTGGCTAATAATACTTCCTTCTCAGAGTTGTTCTGAGGAAAAAAGAAGATAATGAGTATAAGCTCTGTGTGGAGTATTAGGTATTTTTATTATCATTATCATAAACTGCAATCCCAGTTCTCTGGCCTCTCTGTTTTTCATATTACTGATTTTCGTTCTGTTGTACATAGGCTTGCTAAGGAGTCAGAATTGACTCGACCGCACCTAACAACAACAATAGTTTTGTTAATTCACATCTTCCTTCGTTTACTCGGCAGACTGGGCACTGACATTTCACAGCTATGGAGTGTTCTGTAGTTTGTGAACAGCTGTTACACACATCAGCTCACTGGGTCATCCCTGCATGTCTTGGACCATCCCTAGGACACCAGCCCATGCCATGCCTAATGGGCAAGGCCACCAAGAGCAGATTTCTGTAGCTCAGCTGGACCTGAGAAACACACCCCACTCTACTGAGGAGAGTCTGCACCCCAGGCCCAGAACGAGGCACTTCAGCTGTCCTTCTCCACGCCCCATCACCCCACTGCCTCCCCGCATGACAGCTGGTGCAGGCTAGGCTGTGCTCCTGACACCCGCATGCTCTCACCAGCTTCTCTGGGGTGTTGACTATTGCCAGGGTGGATCCTTCCCCTTCACAGTAGCTCCTGCTTTTGTTCCAAGACGACTCAGAGGTGGTCAAGAGGAAGCATTTCCCCTGATGGAGAGCCCACCCAGTGGGGCAGACTGGAGACACCCAAGAAGAGAGAGCATAAGTTAGTGGCTAGGATGGGACCACTGCCCTATAGGGTTTTCTAGGCTGTAATCTTTATGGGAGCAGATCGTCAGGTCTTTCTCCCTCAGAGCCACTGTGTGGGTTTGAACTGCCAACCTTTCAGTTAGCAGCCGAGTGCTTAATTGTTGAGCCACCAGGGCTCCTATACATCTATAAAAATCATCCTCAACCCAGGAGGAACTCTAAGGCTCAGAAATTTTGCCCCATCTGATCTCAATTTCCTTGTCTGTAACACAAAGGAAATGAATTTGAAGTTTGAGGCCCCTTGAAGAAAAACAGTTCTGTGGGAAAGGCCGCAGTGGGAGCCTGTGAGGATTCGGCACGTAAGGACGGGCGGTGCGGAGGTTGGAACCCTGCACTTTACCTGTTCGGGAGCTCCCTGTGGGGGTGAAGCCGACAGTGACCATCTGTGGGACTGAGAAGAAAGGCGAAGCTGGAGGTGGCTGTGCGGTGAAGGCAGCGCTCCAACCTCCTAGCACCGGAGACTAGCTGTGGCAGCAGTGAGCCTTGCCCCTCTGTGCTAGAACCTTCAGATCCTTCCTTCTCTGACTCTCCTGTCTACCCATTACCGTTAGTGCCTCACCATACCTGGAGCCTCTTTCTCATCTTTTTTGAATGTGTTAAAAAAAAACAAAAAACGGTTGCCATTGAGTCGATTCTGACTCATAGCGACCCTATATCACAGAGTAGAACTGCCCCATAGGATTTCTGAGGAGCAGCTGGTGGATTTGAACTGCTGACCTTTTGGTTAGCTGCTGAGCTCTTAACTACTGTGCCACCAGGGCTCCTTGGATGTGGTAATAGGTGTGAAATGCTGAGAAAAAGAAACCCAAAACAAAACAGGAGAAAGGAAGAGTAATGGCAAAATTCAGCGTCAGAGGGAAACCCCCTTCTTGCCTAAATACACAGCATTTGACACTGTTTTCCCAAGGAACTGTTTGGAGAACTTCCGCCCTGATGCCCACACAGCATCCTATTTCTGGGGTCCCAATCCCTATGGGAGCACTCCTATTCCTGGCAGGCCAATCTTGGGCTCTTGTCTTATCTTTACACATCAGCTCTAAGCAGTGTGGTTAACGGGACAGTTTTCGGGGCCAGAGGGTATAGGCAGATGAGGGAGAAGGTGAACGTTCCAGAGATTTCCTATGGCGAGAGAACCAGTTTCACTGAGTCGACTCCACTCTGACTCACGACGACCCTATGTGTGTCAGAATGGAACTGTTCTCCACCAGGTTTTTAGTGGCTGATTTTTTGGAAGTAGATTGCCAAGCCTTTCTTCCAAGGCACCCTCTGAATGGACTCGAACCTCCAACTTTTTGGTTAGCAGCTGAGTGCATTAACCGTTTGCACCACCCAGGGACTCCCTGGGCAGAGAAGGGTCCATCTATCTATTTAAATACAAATAAGGGTGGCCTCCTTATTCCTGGGAATGCTGGCTCTCTGCCCATGCAGCTGCAGTGGCGTCCAATGCTAGTCAAGCCCCTCTTCAGTGGCCCCGTTATCTATGGGGCAGTTCTGCTCCATCCTATAGGGTCGCTATGAGTCGGAATTGACTCGATGGCGACAGGGTTCAACGGGGTGGTCAAAGACAACTTTAGTTTACACAGACGTCAAATGGTTACTTAAAATTATATTAATAAAACCTACAAATTAGCATTCGTTTTGCATTTCAGAGACCCTTTGCAATGTGTCTGTAACCTGGTTTTCCTAATCAATTTCCTGGGATTGTAACGCCTCAGAACCCAACAAATGTTTCATGAGCATTTCCTCAATATGACTCACTCCACTTGGTGCCTCAGGTGATACAGAGATAAATAAGAAACGAGCCTTCTTCTAAAAGATCCATAGCAATCTGTCTTCAGAGGAAGCCAGAGGGAGGTCACCGAGGGAAAGATTTCCAGAAGGGGGCGGGGGGTGCATTTAGTAGGAAGAGCAGTGCTCACTCATCTCCTTATACCATCGCTTCTGGCATTGTGTCTTGGACTTTTGAGATGATGGTTGGCATCATCTTGTTCCTGTTTTTATTCTTGTTCCATGACTGGTCTGGAAGCCCTGGTGACATAACGGTTAAGCGCTCTGCTGTTAACCAAAGGGTTGGTGGTTTGAACCCACCCAGTGGCACGTCGGGAGAAAGACCTGGCGATCTTCTTCCATAAAGGTTGTTGTTGTTGTGTGCCATCAAGTTGGTTCCAAGACACAGTGACCCCATGTGACAGTAGAACTGCCCCAGAATGTTTCCTAGGCTGTAATCTTTATGGAAGGAGCCTTGGTGGCACAGTAGTTAAGCACTTGACTTCTAACTGAAAGGTCTGCAGTTCCAGCCCTCCAGCTGCTCCGCAGGAGAAAGATGTGGCCATCTGCTTTTGTAAAAATTTCAACCTCGGAAACCCTATGAGGCAGTTCTGTCCTGTCCTATGGGGTCACTATGACTCAGAATTGACTTGAGAGCAACAGGGTAATCTTTATGGGAGCAGATCAGCAGGTCTTTTCTCCTGTGGAGTGGCTGGTGGTTCAAACCACTGACTTCATTTAGCAGCTGGGCGCTTAGCCATTTCACCACCAGAGCTCCTTTCTGTAAAGGTGGCAGCCTAAAAACCCGATGGAGCAGTTCTACTTTGTCATACGGGGTCGCTATGAGTCGGAATCTGCTTGATGGCACCCAACAACAACATGGCTGGTCTAGCACAGTGCTTGGTACAAAAATAGGTGCTTAATATACTTTGTTTTTTTGTGGGACTCGGGTTTCTTTATAACAATTCCTTACACGTGTACAACACCTTAGGGTATATAAGTCCTTTCACATGCAGACTGGGAAAAAATTTTTGGCTATGATATATCCGACAAAGGTCTAATCTCTAAAATCTATAGGAAAATCCAACGCTTCTACAACAAAAAGACAAATAAATACAATTAAAAAATGGGGAAAGGATATGAACAGACACTTTAACCGAAGAAGACATTCAGGCGGCTAACAAACAAACGAGGAAATGCTCACAATCATTAGCTGTTAAAAACACCAAACCCATTGCCTTTGAGTCAATTCTGACTCATGCAGCCCTATAGGATAGAGGAGAACTGCCCAGTAGGGTTTCCAAGGAGCGACTGGTAGATTCTAACTGCCAACCTTCTGGTTAGTAGCCAAGCTCTTAACCACTGCACCACCAGGGTTCCATAAGAGAGACGCAAATCAAAACTACAATGAGATACCATCTCACCCTGGCATTATTGACACTAATAAAAAAAAACAGAAAATAAAAAATGTTGGAGAGGTTGTGGGGAGACTGGAACTCTTATGCACTGCTAGTGGGAATGCAAAATGTCACAGCCATTTTGGAAAACAATATGGCACTTCCTTAAAAAGCTAGAAATAAAAATATCATACAATCCAGCAATCCCACTCCTAGGAATATATCCTAGACAAATAAGAGCTGTCACACGAATAGACATATGCACACCCATGTTCACTGTAGCATTATTCACAATTGCAAAAAGATGGAAACACATCAGTGCCCATCAACAGATGAATGGATAAACAAACTATAGTACATACACACAATGGAATACTATGCAGTGATAAGGAACAATGATGAATCTGCGAAACATCTCACCATATATGAATCTGGAGGGCATTATGCTGACTGAAATAAGTCAGTCACAAAAGGACAAGTACTGTATGAGACCACTATTTATAAAAACTCATGAGAAGGTTTACATACAGAAAGGAACAATCTTTGATGGTTATGACAGAGGCTGGGGGAGGGAAAAACACTAACTAGATAGTAGATAAGTGGTAACTTTGGTGAAGGGTAAGACAGTACACAATACTGGGGAAGTCAGAACAACTTGACCAAGGCAAAGTCATAGAAACTTCACAGCCACAGTGAAACTCCCTGAGGGACCAAGTTACTGGGCTGAGGGCTGGAGACCGTAGTTTCAGGGGACATGTAGCTCCTTTGGCATAACATTTTACAAAGAAAATGTTCTACATCTGACTGTGGTGAGTATTATCTGGGGTCTTAAAAGCCTTTGAGCAGCCATCTAAGATACATCTACTGGTTCTATCCCAGCTGGAGCAAATGAGAATGAAGAAAACCAAAGACACAAGGGAAAGATTAGTCCAAAGGACTAATGGACCACAACTACCTCAACATCTGCCAGACTGAGCCCAGAACAGCTAGATGGTGCCCAGTTACCACCACCAACTACTCTGACAGGGATCACAAGGGAGGGTCCAGGACAGAGTGGGAGAAAAATGTAGAACAAAATTCAAATTCACAAACACAACAACAACAACAAGAGACTTGCTGGTCTGACAGAGACTGGAACAACCTGAGTGTGGCCCCTGGACACACTTTTAACTCAGTACTGAAGTCGCTCCTGAGCTTTACCCTTCAGCCAGAGATTAGACAGGTCTACACCAGCCGCTCCTTGGAAAGCCTATGGGGACAGTTCTACTCTGTCCTATAGGGTCGCTATGATTGGAATTGACTCTATGGCAATTTTTTTTTTCTTTTATAGAGTTGCTATGAGTTGGAATCGACTTGATGGCAATGCGTATAGGGCCAACAATAACACATGTGAGGAATGTGCTTCATAGTTCAATTATGTATACAAGAGTAAATGGGCACACCAGCCCAAAACCAAAGATGGGAAGGCAGGAAGGGACAGGAAAACTGGATGAATAGCAACAGGAAACCTGGGGTGGAGAAGAGAAGAGTGTTGACATATCGCAGGGTTGGCAACCAGTGTCACTAAACAAATTGTTAATTGTTTAATGAGAAACTAATTTGCTCTGTAAACCTTTCCTAAAGCACACACACACAAAGCCCTTTCACATTATGTAACAATGGTTACACACAAATCATCCCCATGCCCAGGAGGGAAACTGAGGCTTAGAAAGTTCACACAGTCTGGCCTTGGTTTCCACATATATAAAAGGAAGGGGATTAATTAGAAGAACTTTATGGACTCTGAGCAAAAAAAAAAAAAAGAAAAAAAAAAAAGAAAACCACTCTTGGGAAAGAAGGCCTTGAGACGGTTTCTAAGAATGGAGCAGAAATACTGAGTTTTTCAGGTGTTTAAGAAGCGGGGAGTGGAGAGGAGGTCAAAATCATGCACTGTACCTGTTGCGTAGCCCTTTGTGGGGACAAAGTTGAAATCATTTTTGCCAAAAATCTGCGGGACTGCAAGAAAATGAGTAGCTGGTTAGGCCAGAAGGCGGCTGCATGATGAACATGAGAACAAACGTCACTGCAGGAGCTGCTGGCTCCCGTGACTGTTACTGTGAAATATCGAACTTTCGGCCAGGTCAGTGGGGGTGTGCTGTGTTTGTGGTGCAGATGTTCACTGATTTATAGTTCGTTCCTGCTCTTTGCAGTGGCAGGAATTGCACCTTCAGATTGGGCAATGAGAACGGTATCCCTTACCCAACTGCTGTTTCCTAATCACACTTCCTTCCTCGTTTATTTTTTTTCCACCAAGCCTGGGCTGCAGAAGAGTCGGCTTGCTGCGATTCCAGTACAATCCTGTGGTATGAGGCCTCTTTTTCCAAGTATTTGGATGAATTAAGTTTTAGGTACAGAGAGAAAAATTTCTCTCTTGGTAAAATACCTTTACTGTATAATGCAGCTGTGAACACAGCCTTATCACTGGTCCCTCTTGAACTCTATTTTCAAAATTTATCAACAATAACCACTACTGCTTAGTAATCTGGCTCAGATTACCCAACTGATTCTCTCCTAGCAAAAGCTTTGTGTAGGCTTTTAAGCATCAGACACTGGTCAGTTCTTTATCTCCAAGGCAGAGCAAGGAACCTGGCCCATTGTGTGTGCTAGGGAGTGAGAAGGGCATTGTCAACTAACCTCAGGGTGTTAGAGACCCTCAAGTGGAAAGACTTGAGCAATTAACCTTTACCCTCGACCCTGCCTTCTGAGAGGAGTCAAAGAACAAGAGTATATGAGGGTTGGGGTAGGAGGTTGCTCGTATACTCACAGTACATCAGGAATAAGGTCATTCCGACGACTTTTAGGACCACCACCATCAACACTGAGATGATCGTATGCCAGTTCATGATGGAGAAGAGGAAGGGGCTGCAAGGACCAGAGCACAGCACTGTCAGAATCTGGGCACATGGCTTCTTGTCACCAGGGCACATCTTAGCCCATTTCTTAGAGCACTCTTAGGGGCTTAGAAGACAGGGACGCTATGGACAGGTACCAGGAGGGGACCTAACATCTGCCCAGGGCGGTGGGGGGCCTTTATATCTGGCATGCTGCCTCTCTCCACCCATCCCCCAGCTCTGGGCCTCAGCCTTGTCCTCATCTGTGGGCCCTGAACTCTTCTTGAGTATACTCTGAACTGCCAGAAGAACAAAAAAATCATTCTTAGGGAAATACAACCATAATGCTCCTTGGAAGCAAGGATGGCAAGACTTTGGTTTGCTTACTTTGGACACATTATCAGGAAAGACTAATTGCTAGAAAAGGACATCATGGTTGGTAAAGTAGAAGGTCACTGAAAATAAGGGAAAACCCCAGTGAGATGGACTGACATAGTAACCTGAACAATCAGGGATCATGAAGATGGTGCAGAACTGGGCAGCGTTTCCTTCTGTTGTACATGGGGTCGCCATGAGTTGGAGCTGGCATTGAGAATCCTCGGCCTTGAAGTTGGCCTTGCTCCACAGGACCCTGATCTGTACTCCTGGCCATACTGCCTTCAGCTGGTGGAAGCCCCAGTCTTGAAAAGACTGTGCCAGGGATCTCTGACAGCCAGGACAAGTGTCCCTGAGAGTCTTGGCATTGGGAACGAGCCCACTATCTGTGCAGATAAGACAGACAGACAGACTCACCTGCTTTCCCCCTGGCTGGATGGCAGACGCTGTGGTGGGCAGAGGCTCCTTCTCCCAGGAAGATGCCCCTTCTGCTGAGGTGGCGTCCTTCCTCCTTCACAGTCACTCTGCCTGGGCAGCATTCCCAGTCAAGCACTGCTTATGGTCTTGGCAAAGGAAGTGGGCGGGGTAAGGAGAGGAAGGAGCTTGTAGCCTCAGCAAGAGGCAGGTCACCGCTTGGGGGTCCGGGGGCTATCATCCAGGGGACCATCTTCAGGAGAATTTGGAAAATAAAACACCTCAACCCTGACTTGCCCTGTCTCTGATTCCCCTTGAAATACAGTGGGAAGAACATTGAAAATGGTAATCAACAGGGAGTCCGAATGAAGGATGTCTGGAAATTCTTTGTACTGCTCTGAACCTTTCTGTAAGTCTGAAATGATGTCAAAATAAAATTTCTTGTAAAAGAGACACAGTTGAAGTCATTGATATTAGAGGGCAGGTCCTCGTGTATCCCTCTGCTCCATGCCTTGCCCCACAGCTCTGCTCTGTACCCTTTGTCACGGACCCCTCCTCTCTGGCCCCACTGCTCACCTTCCGGAGCATGTGCTGTTGTGTGAGGATCGTGCCCACCTCGGGCCATTGAGATGATGCCTCCTTCAGTATGTTCTGAGCATGGTGCTGTGCTCGATGTGAGGTGGACGGGGTGGAGGGTGGGGAACACCATGGCGAACAAGACTTCAGTCTTATCACCCAGGAGTTTTTCTTGCATTTAAATTCAAAGTTTTCTTTTTATTATATTTTCCCTGCTATAAAAGCTACACATGGTCATTAAAAAAAAAAATGATTAGAAAACCTTGACAGGGAAAAATAAGAAAATGAAACCATCCATGCTGCTATTGTTAGTTGCCATCAAGTTGATTCCAACTCATGGCGACCCCGCAGGTGCAGAGTAGAACTGCTCCACAGAGTTTGCAAGGTTGTGACCTTTCGGAAGCAGATGACCAGGCCTATCTTCTGAGGCGCCTCTGGATGGGTTTGAACAAACAACTTTTCAGTTAGTAGTTGAGTGCTTAACCGTTTGTGCCATTTAGCTGTAGGCATGTTACCACCTGTAGGTGTATTCTTTTTTGGAGAAGTGGGGAGGTAAAGGGAGAGAGAGATCAGAGGCAGAGGTTCCTCTGAAACTTGTACGCTGGCTCCGGCTTTGGGCAGGGGCTCAGTGAGTAAGCTGGAAGTCCTACTGCAGGGGTGGGGGCAGTCATTTTAGTTCGGTGACATGAACATCTGTCGATTGCTAACTAGGTGCTACAGCACGTCGCAAGGGAATATGTATGCTCAGCAGTAAGGCTTCCTGCTCAGGTTGCCGCTAGCCTGGGAAAACAGAACCAGAGCAAATAACTCCCTTTATCTTCCTTCATCAAATCCTAGAAGATTTGCCCCTTCCAACATCTATCAGAACCCACCACAATTTTGAATATGAGGCAAACTCTCTCGTCTCTCCTGCAAAGATTACAAACAGGAAAATAATCACCAGATATGTGGAAATACGTAGTAGCTCAAGATAAGGTGACCCGTATGAAGAAAGATCCAATGTCTGCCTGTGAGATGAAGTCATTACAAAGGCATAGAGGATGGTAGAAAACATCCCACTCATGTTTTCATTAAGATTTTACAGACACTGATTCTGTCAAAGGAATATGACTTAATATCATGAAACGGACAAGCAAATGCTTTGAGAATAAAAATGTAATTGCTGATTTTTCAAATCATTGGAGCGAAGGGCATTAAATAACAGGTTAGATACTGCAGAAGATGTCCTGAAATTCTAATTCAGAACTCCTAAGAAAAAGAAAAAAAGAAAGAAACATGATTAGAGCAGAAAGATAGCAAGGCATTGCTATGACATCCCAGAGATCCTTTATGCTATAGCTTTGGAAAGGAGACAACATAAAACAGTAGATACAAAAGAGCAATAATCAAAGACATCGTAGAAGAAAATGTAAGAGGTGAGGATTCAGCAAAGTTAATGAAAAGAGATCCTCTAGATAAATTCTGGTGATTTTTTTTTTAATTAAAAAAGAAAAGAAGAAAGAAATATTATTCAGAACTTTGGGTATAAAAACCTATGAAGAAAATAAAATGCTAGCTTTGTTTCAGGTTTTAATTTAAAAACTCTAAATCCAGAAGATCACAGATCATCAACAGAGCATTGGTGGAGGAGCATTGTGACTCACGTGCTAATAGTTTCAGTCAAGTGCAATCCAGAGTTTAACCCTGAGTTGCTCATGGGATGACCCAAGCTCGTGCCCATCCTCCCATCCCCCATATCAGGGGCGCTCAGAGCACGCCCATGATTTCTGGACTCCAGGGCTCACTGGCAGAACCTAGGAAGAGGAAGGAGCTTGTCTTTCTCTCTGGTCTGGAAACTCAGAAAAATGTCACCAGAATATCACAGGCCAGCATTGTGTTCTGGATGTTGTTGTTAGCTGATGTTGAGTAGATTCCAACTCATGGTGACCTCATGTGTTACACAGTAGAACTGCCCCATAGGGTTTTCTAGGCTGTAATCTTCACAGAAGCAGATTGCCAGGTCTTTCTCTTGAGGAGCCACTGGGTGGGTTCAAACTGCCAACCTCTCAGCTAGAAGCTAAGCTCAACCTAAATAGCACCATCTTTTTTTTTTTTTTTTATTCTACTTCAGGTGAAGGCTTACAGAACAAATAGTTTCTCATGAAACAGTAGTACACATGTTGTTTTATGACATTGGTTAACAACCCCACAACA